AATGCAAACAATTTACATTGGCGGTGGTCAAATACTAGTAGTCAGATGGCGATTAACAGCTACTTTTTAGTAGTCTACTGCCATCGAAAAGAAAAAAATTTTGGCATTTTTGAAAATTTAATAAGTTTACTTGCACGAAAATGAAATGTACAAACAGCGCAATCCAAATTGGAAACCATGGACACAATATGAAAAACTTGATGGAAACCCGATAATAATTATTTTAAATTTGTTGTGTTATTTTTTTTTAACTTTTATTGTAATCAGACCAGCACAGGTGTGAGAATGTAAGTTGAAATCTGATAAAAGCTTCTGATTGTTACTGCAGATTACATGTATGATTTAAGTACAACAAATATTGGGTTAAGTTGATATAATGACAATAGGATTTGTTATCTCATTTTCAAGGGTACGTCGAAGTTGACAGTTATATACCATATTTGTTCTATTAGTAGCGCATGTACTTATGAAAACTATCGTGTCTCTATTAGAAAAATGATAGCAAAATATTTTAATGAATCAGTATACATGTACAACAAATGTAATTTTGGTTTATCGTTGCACGTACTTCTATTGGAGATGCGCTTCTAATAGAGAACATATGGTAATCATATATAATGAACCCACTAAAAAGATATTAGTAAGGTCACATGTCCCTGTAGTCCCTGGTTTAGAAATCAACATGTTTAAAATATGAGTAAGCCACAAAAACAATTCTGCGGTCCTTTATTGCGTCGCGTTGGTAAGTAGGGAATTAAACTAATGATCGAAACTCATGGAAGCGTGTGTTGTCCTTGTCGCATCCTGGTACGGAATCTGAAATTTTTAAGAACCAGGATTGTAATTTATTGTGTGCTTGTTTTATTCTTGTAAATGATATGCGTGCGACATTGTTAGATCCTGTTTCTGAAATTATATTCATAATTTAATACATGTGCACGTAACCTCCATTTTAATATGAAATATTATTTATTACACTATTAATGTCGTCAACCTAGAAGATGTAACAAAAATCTGAATTACTCGTTCATCCACAGTAAATATAAGTAAAACAACACCATGGGATGACGGGGTACTTTTACACTGAATGTGAGACAGTGAAAAGAACAAAATTAATATTTTGACTAAAAGGGAATTGAAACCAACTCACACAACAATTCATTTTTATAAACAATTTCAAAGAGAAGGGATTACCACACAATCACACAACACAGCTGCTATGCTCTCATTCTAAAACCTTTTTAACATCACAGAAGTTTTCCCGCCAAAATGTTTGAGTAACATTTTGCATGTTTTGTCGTATTTCTGTATAATTTTTTTAATGTCTGAAATTTTAATCAATATTCTGAAAAAATATGAAGGTAAATTTTTGTAAAAGATGCAAAAAGTCAATAGCTACAACAAAAATTGTAATGAATATGTATGTAGAGACAGAGGTACATTACTCGGGGTTTGCAACTACGGTGACATGATACCAAGATCCCGTTATAATCTCGCTCTTGCATAAGCGTTCCAACTCAGAAAAATGCAAATGCGCATGTCCAAGGTAACTAGGATACTGGAATGTCCAGGTGGATCAAAATAGCTGCTCACGATACGACGGATTACGATAACTATATTTTCTGTACATTTTTGATGTATTACATTTTTTCACTATGAATGTGGTAATACGTGTTTTATTGTTTTATTACAGACCGCCTATGTCATGTCAGAAGGTAGTAGCATCAGTCTCCCTATCTAAGAGATGAGACTTGAATGGGATCTTGGCATGGTGTCACCATACAGTACTATGTGCGTTGCAAACCCCATGTAATATACCTCTGGTAGAGACAAGTGTTTGCTTCATCGAGCTCTTTAATTCAAATCTGTTAACTATATTCATCTGGTTCAAAATTCCCAAACAGAAATCACATTTCCATTGCTTTTTGGACAAAGAAATTCCATCCTCATATGAAGATTGTATCATACCCGGTAATGTAAAAATTACAACTAAGTATGGGAAAATGATGAATATTTAGTAAAATACAAACTAGTTTTGACTGGGGAATGACAGAAGCCTGATAGGGTTAATTATATGCAAGACGAATGGTCATACAATATACTACATGACGTACCATGAATAACCATGGCAACTACAGACAATTAATTTAAAACCAAGACGACAATGAACTTGGAACATTAAAAACACACAATGTACATTTTTTCAAGAGAAACAGAATAAAATGTCCCATAGAAGTCACAACAATAGTAGTAAGACTGCTTTTGTACATACGACAAATAGCAATGAGAACATGGTATTTGTAAACGGTTGACATTTCACAGTTAACTTCTCAAAGTTTAAAGGTTTCAACTTAATTGTTTCTTACCTACTATGACAATAAAAGCTTGCTGACTTTGCGACAACATTGCAAAAGGATTCTGAAGAATTCTGGAATTCATTGCGAGTCAATTATGATCATCGTCGCCAGCACATTTTGAGCGATAAAGCAAAGGCACAAACTTATTTTGACAATTTCTGATGCAAGTCATAATAAAATAAAGAATGATAACGAATTATTTTTATTGATATACCATGTTTGCTTTATTATATGCACATAAGAACCAAAAAACCCAATTGAATCATTAACACTGACCATGTGAAGACCTCTGTAATTTACGGAAAAGCATACACTACTAATAGAGCAAATACGGTAATCATTTTTTTCCCCAAATGCTTTTGTACATTAACCTTTTCACCACCAGTTTCTCTGCAAATTTCTTTGCACGTTTCTCTTATACTCTTTAATATTTCTGGAAATGAACCCTACTTATTGAGGCCAATAGACAAAAAAAATTTTGACTATTTTTGTCCCGATTTTCTGAAGGAAAGTGCAGACTATAATCGGGACTATTTTGTGAATTTGTGATGAAAATAGGGAACTGGTGGTGAATAGGTTAAAGAAGCACAGGGTGTTGACTGTAAAATAGTTTTCTCATGGAGTCAGTTCGAATCGAATAATTTAGTACAAATACAAATGCCCAGTACATGTATGACATGCATGTAAACACACCAGGTGATATTGAATGCGATTTTCAAAGTTTGTAAACTCAATTTGTTAGGTTTCAAATTTTCGCTTAAACTTTTTGTTGG